CAGTAAGTGAGGACTCCCAAGGCCGCCACCCTGACTCCCACAGAACCCATGACTAGAGAGAGTGGTTTCTCATCACCTCTTGGGTCACAGCTACATCATTCAGCTCAGACTGTGCATGGACCCCTTTCCAGCAGCACCCCACACCCAACACCAAGGCCGGACACCAGCCACAGACACCGGCACTAGGACTCACTGTCACCTGGTCTCTCCTCCTGCTGTTGACACAGGCTTCAAGCCTCAACTCAGAAAATAAAGAGGACAAGTAGACTTTTTTTTCTCAAGTAACAGTCTTTGAAAAATAGTCAAAAGACAAATCCCATTATTGAACAGTCTTCTCTGCCCTGAGAGATCTTAAGTGCCCTCAGTGTGTAAATGTGGGCATCCTGTCCCTGGTTATTCATCAGGGCACACTTGCTGGCACCTGCTATGTGTGAAGCACTGTCTGGGATAGATTAATAATAAAATCTAATGGTTGCCATGGAGAAGCTTCTGGTCTGAGGAGGAGATGGCAGACGCCTAAGAACGTGGTGTGAGGAAGGCTCACGAGGGAACCCACATTCCTGAAGGGTGGAAGGAACAGAGGGTGAACAGGCTTCCTGGCAGAGTGAGCAGCTCCTGGAGGGTTGGAACTAATATAAAGCTTCCTGGGTCTTTGTTCAAGGCAAGGGCAAGTCTCCACCCCAGGCCAACCAGTTCTTACTCCTCTCCTGCTGACACCCCCTGCTGGTGTCCAGAAGCAGACCTGTCCTTGTGTGTCCAGGTTGGAAGAAAAATGCTCCAAGTTTCTAAACTGAGATAGCTATCCCATGAAAGGCACAGTGTTTACCAGCGAGGAGAGGGGGTGGTCACCGTTTGAACAGTGTCCGTGTGCTTCAGGAGCTCCGCTTGCAACTCTGAAAAAGTAGTAGATCTGGAAAGTTACAGGATTGTCCATCAGACTTCAGAAGTAGGCAGGAGAAGAGATACTGGCGTGATGAGGCCTCTCCAAATTTCTCAAATTTGGAACTCCTGAACATTCTGATGAACCTAGTGGTGGGATTAAAATTCCACTTATGCACTTTATAATACATTTTGTTTTGACTCTTAATATTTGTCAGATGGATCTTTTTCCAGACAGGACTCCTGTGACTCAAATTCTGGCTCCATGCCCCTTGATTTCTGCCCCTACAGAATAGAATGGCAGATCACTGCCTAGGTTATGTTTTATCACACCTACAACTTGCACTTGGCTGAAAATCTTAAGTCCACACAATGAATTAAAGACTTAAGTAAAAACTGCTAGATACTTAACAGCACCAAAATTTTCCATTACAAATCTGCTTTTACTCTTTTTTTTTTTTTTAAAAAAAAAAAAAGGGCCTTGAGGGGAAATTTGAATTTCCAAGACTTCCAGATCAAAGATTTCTTCAGCTGTCTGAATTATAGGAATGTTGAAAAACAAAAACAAATCCCTTTCCTGCTATAAAATCCTTGCCATGTCTTTGTCTTTATGTAACTCAAAACGGCTGAGCTAAAGAATGAGGTGGGTGAATTGTGCTCAAAACCTAAAATTTCATCAGAAATGAAGCCATCAATACTTTTGAAAGGGTCGTTCTAATTAATCAGACCCATGAATAAATTTTGCTAAATTCCTACTTGATGACCCAGAAAATTGCTAAATAGCATTTAGAATAAAACAAATTATGACTAAGGACACCAGAATGTTTTAAATTGTTTATGAAATTGATTCAAGGCTAAATTATAATAATTTGGGCATGGTGGTGGTGGCATCCAGGATAATTCGCATCTGATTCCATACCCATCCTTGGCAACAGAGATGTCGTTTGAACAGCACGATGGGCGCTCTTAGAAAACCATTCATTTCAAAAGCTTTTTCAGAAAGCTTCAACTTTTTGAAAAGCAATAGTTTATAGGCATCAGCTTGCTGATGGTTTCGATAGAAGGCCTGACCCTTAGTGTGCCAGAAGTAAACTGCTTTAAGCAGGAGGTGCCATTAGCTGTCAGTCATCTGGTAGACTAGGTAACCAGTTAATGATGACCCACGTCTTAGTGGTCTCAGAATTTCAGCGTTTCCAAAAGGAACCACTTTTTGCTTTGTCACTAGAGAGAGGTCATGATGCTCATACTAATGGAAAAATGAGGTGGAAAATATAGGCTACAGTACATGTCCTTATGCATAGCGGTGGGGAGGGGCAGGGGAGAGGGAGGGGGAGCAGTGGCTTATGTGCTAACATTTCAGACCTACCGCACTTTTATACATTTAAGAGGCCATTTGTTTCCAGTTTCCTCCCATGTTACCTCTTTAAAGGTTTTTTTAATGTCTTCTTTTTCTAATTATTAAAAAGAAACGATCCCTGGAGAAAAACTGCAAGACTGAAAAGAGTAAAAAGTATAAATTTAGTAAGAGTTTTTCAAATTCCACCATTTATATTTGCTGCATGTCAGTTTGCATTTTGCTGATTTTGCTCTGAGAATGTATTTACATAATTGAGATCATTCTGCGCACAGAATTTTTACTTTTTTCTTTAAAATAACCATTTTCTCATGTTACTCAGTGTTCCGTAACATCAGTCTCAGTGAATTCGTATTATTTCTATTACGGAATGTGTGCCGTATAACCATTTTGGGTCATTCCAGTATTTTAGTATCATCAATAACTTTGCAATTCATGTCTTTATACATCATTTTTTTTCAGTATGGGTGCATTAGACTTTAGATTACAGATCACAAGGAATCAGTTCACCCAGGCTTGAGCAAAAAAAAAAAAAAAAAAAAAAAATACCTTTTTTTAGCATAGCTAAATGCCTAGGGGTAGATCTGGCTTCAGGCATGGCTGGACTCTGCTGAATGAACCTGTCTTTTTGTCTCTTGCACCGGCTCCCCTCTGTGTCAGTTTTCTCCTCAGGTCTGCTCCTTTACTTCCTCCCAGAAGACAGAGCGGGTCTTTCCCAATTTTTTCAGCAGAAATCCTACTGAGACTCATTAACATAAATGGGATCAAACACCCACCTGAGTCAGTAGCTGGGGCCAGGCAAGGAATGTACTGGATTGCCTGCAGGACATGGCAGTCCCTGCCCCCAGCACTCTTGCTCTGCTCATGTTGTGTCCTGATCCCATCTGCCTGCTCTTCACCCCAGCTTGCTGCAGCCCGACATCCTTCGTCTCTGCTCAGGACCCTGTCTGACCACCCTGCCACAGGCGTATTCCTGATGCTCTGCTGTGGGGCTGGAGGCACAGGTGTGACTTCATTGTCTTCTTCCACTATAAGCTCAAGGGCTGACACTTTGCTTGTGTCTCTCCCCAGCACTCAGTAAAGATTTATCGAGTGACTTAATGAATGTCAGGTCAGGACTAGTGTGAGTCCCCCAAGAAAATGGGCAGACACCGCCAAAATAAGCACAGTGAGTGCTGGGCTGAAAGGAACAAAATGTCCATTACAACTCAGGTCAAACCAAATTCCCAGGTGTGGGACTTCAAAGGATATGACTATTTTGAGGGTTTTTTTAAAACTCCCTATAAAAATTCTTGCAGTAGAATAATCCTTCTGAAAAGCAGGTCCCATCCTTCCCCTTCCCTACTTAAAATGGACAGCTCTCCACTGGACCGTGAATAAAAGAACTTTTCACCCCGGCCCCCAACCCTGCAATGATCCAGTTTCAGCCTCACTTCTCTGCCCTCACAGCCTCCAGCAGCCTGGCTTTCTGTTATGTTCTACCCTGGAACGCCCCCCAGGAACCTTGGACTGTCTTTTCCCTCCGCTGGGAGGGTCCGTATTTCCTGTCTACTCTTTCTTCCTGAGACCTCAGTGCTACTGTCATCTGTTAGGATGCCTCCCTTGCCCACCCAGACCGTGCTCACCTCCCAGCCTCGCCAGCGAACTGGGGCATCTTCTCTTTACGATACTCATCATCCTCTCTGTTCATTCCTTACTCTCCTGCTCACCACATGAGGCCCCTTTCTCGCTGTCCGCTGCTGGAACCTTAGAACCCTGAGTGGTACCTGGAATATCAAAGCCTTTTAGCTTTTTATTGGGAAAGAAATGAACAAACGACTCTCCAGTAGGGTTGTCCTGATCAACATACCCATCGGCAGTAAGAGTGCTCATTTCACCTCATCTCTGCGTGAAGCGATTTCCTTAGAACACAGCTCAAGAGAAGCCTTTTTTTGGACCCTCCCTGCACTGTCCTGGAGGAGAAGCCACGGACTGTCTTCTCGCAGCTACACTGCCGTCTGCACAAATCTCGGCTCCTCCGCTACAGCCAGTGGGTGTTAGAGCCTCCCATCTAGGGGAGCACAGGTCGAATCTTCACCCTCTTATGTAAATGGAAAAAACATTTCTTTTTGTTGCCACTGGATTCAGAGGAATTTCCTAAAAAGGTTATATTGACTAAAAAGCAGTAAATAATCAGTCCAAGTATCTGGGGGTGTGATAGTCATCATTTTTTATGCTTTCCTACCCCAAATTATCCAATTGTGATATTTTGGTTTTACAAAACCCTCTCTAATATGTTGATTATTACCACAGCACATTTGTGGGTTTTTTGTTTTTTTTTGCGGGACCCTTGCCGGTGGCTGGGGATCGAACCCAGCGCTCAACCGCTGCACCACCAGGGGAGGCCCAGCACATTTGTTTTTTAAAGCACCATTACAGTTTTTAAAAAGTCTTGCAAAAAGTTGGCCTCCCCGGTGGCACAGTGGTTGAGCGCTGGGTTGCGAAGCTGCCCGCAGCCTCTGCAGCGCCGGTTTGATCCCTGGCTGCTCCCCGGCCACCGAAGGAGGGTCCCACATGGTGTGCAGACCTCTCCTGCCGCCCGCTGCTCCCCTCAGCAGTGTACTTCGGTCCTTCTGCCTGCTCTGCTCCCAGCTCTGGCTCTGGTGAATTCTCTCACCCTCCCGCACTTCTGACTGTACCCAGTTCTTGTATAAATAAATAAATAAATAAATAAATAAATAAATAAATAAATCTTTAAAAAAAAAAAAAAGTCTTGCAAAAAGCCGAGCTGATGCTTAGAAAAAGTATTTAATGTCATGAACACCACAGCACCTTTTATCAGGTAAAAGTTCCTATGACATACATCAGATGACACTAATCAAATCTCCCTTTTACCTGAGAAGAATTTATGTTCGAATACAAAATAATGAATTTCATGTTGTCATCTTTTTAAGACAAGCCTGCAGCATCATTCAACTTGAAGAACAGGATGAATTGCACAGAACGATTGTCGTCTTCAAAAAACAACAGCCTCTACAAAGTTTTCTAGTTCAAAAATAGCACCATTACAGGAAGAGAGTGTCTGCTAAGTCCCTCAACTTACCAAAATGACTTAGCAAAATTCATGCAAACTAAACTTGGAGTGATTGGTGTTTATAACTATCCTGTGATCTGGGATGGGAAGCAGAAGTCAAAAAACAAAAAAGCAACCATGCACATAAAGTAACTTTCAACTCACACACACGTGCGTGCATGCACACTCACACCCACACACCCCTGCCAGGGTGCGTTCCTTGTTTTCTGAGAGCTGTGTCACCAGTCATCCACCTCAACCACGAAGGGTGTTTTCACGTCTATCTTGCCACTGTTGGTGATGGAGCAGTCGGTGAGAGGGCGATCGCGTCCGTCCGTTGCCTGAAGTTCTATCGAGTGGACCACTGCCTGGTGAGAGAGGAGACCCGCGGTTCACTTCTGAAAGTCCAAGTGCAAAGGAAAATTTTTTTTATGATTATAAAACCATGCAAGCTAATTGTGGGGAAAAACTATTCAAGAAAGTCATAAATAGCAGATTTGGACTTGCACTATATTTGTGTATTTCCTTATTTCTTTTATATTCTAAGAAAAAAAGAGTATGATTTTTGGGTAAACATCTCCGTCTAATGAAAGATATTTCTGCTCACTTTTATACCCAATGTAGGAGTTCGCATGGAGTTTGGGTCAATTTCAGCTGCACCCTGTTATGGTTCTAGGCATAATAAAATATGCCATAAAGCAGATTTAGAAGTCAACTTAGTACTGAGTTTGCCCATTTTTAAGGCTGACTCAAGCCATCAATCTGCAGGATGAGTCTAATACTAGTATAACTGCACCCCCACAGTGGTGAAAGGGGCCCCTTTCTGCCTTGGTAGCTTCACAAGCTCTCGTGTGTCACACTGAAGGAGGGCGACTGGACAGCACCAAGGAGCCAGCTCCTGATGGGTTTCCCAAGAGAGCTGAGAAAAAAATAGCGACAGTCTCTGAGTGCCTTGTAGTTGGGGTCAACTAATCCCATCTCTGCCCGACTTGGGTTAATTTAAAATCAAAAGACAGCATTCTTCTAAGGATAGTGTATGTTTCTGAGGAAAGCTGGTGTGGGGGCACTTTCTTCAAATGCTTATTTAATGGTTAAAAATGGAAATCCCTACATTTTGCATATTTTGCCATAATTTTAAAATGCTTGCTTGTGGGCACACCTGGAGAAGCTGTGACTTTGCAGGTCTGAAGTGAAGTCGTGAAATTTGTATTAACTGAGCAACCCACTGATTTCTGAAGGACCAAGGGGTAGAATTCAGGAGATCCTGCAAACGCCTAGAAACTCTATGAAATATAAGCTTTTTCTCAAAAAGTTTATGCCCCATAAGATGTTAAGGACTATTTGGCTAAGACCAGGCAACAGGACTCCGAGGATGCCTACCAAAGGGTAGGAGGAAGTCAGTGCTGTCGATTAGCACAAAGAGATGTAAGACGCAGAAGACTAGAAGAATAGTATGACCAGAAGAAGAAAATCCCAAGATTTGGATTCACTTTTCTGACAGCTTGACACAATGTTGTATTCAGAAATATTTACTGAATGATAAGTGAGTTTATCTTTAAACTATATAGCACCTGGTTAAGCTGAGTGTCAAAATCCCAGACGGATTTAACATACGCATCCCCACAGTTAGCTGATTTCAAAAACAAAGTTCAGTAAGAGGTCTGAGGAAAGCTGGTGTTCATTACTGTGAAACAGTAGATTTATGCACATCTAGGCCTCACGGGATGTGGGCGTGTTCTTCTCTGTGCTGGAAAGTGAAGTGTCATATTCAGTGGTTCGTGCTGCCCTACCTCTCTCTCCTCCCACTTGCTAACGAGTACTTCATCTTTTGTGGCTCAGTTTGCATATGTCCTTACTTTGTAAGAGATGTTCTGAGTCATCTGCTCAGTTCCTTGTCTTTGCTGCTTAGAATCAGAATAGCAGGGAATTCTGGGAAAGAACTGCCAACAAGTGAGGTTGGTTTACTTATGGTTGGATGAGGGAGGCAGAATAAGCCATATGAAAACAAAACAAAATGAAATATGGAGAGCAAGGCAGTCCAGGATGGGCCAGGGCTGGGCTGGGCTGACTTTGCCAGTTGAGGAATTGGGAGAACTACTTCAGGCAGTTACTTAAGCAGGAGAAGTATTGAGAGTAGAATAGAATGAGGATTTTAAGAAGTGTTATTATGGATTATGAATGGGACGCCTCTGGTACTCTTTGACACATACTAGCATAAATTTGAATTTTCTTTATTGATTTTGGCTGTGAGTGTTTGAAAGTGATTTCTGTTGGACTGAACCATACTTTTAAAAAATATTTTTAATAGTGGTGAGAAACACATAGTATAAATAACATAACCATCTTATCCATCTCTAAGTACATAGCTCAATATTGTTTAGTATTTGAATTATGCTATGCAACTAATCTCTGGAACTTTCTCATCTTGCAAAACTGAAAGTCTATAGCCACTGCCCACCACTCCCATTTCCTCCTCCCCCAGTGCCTGGCAACCACCATCCTACTGGATGTTTCTATGTATTTAGCTATTAGCTATGTATTTAGCTATATTAGATCCCTCCTATAAGGTCTCCTATACACCTTTCTGTGACTGGCTTATTTCACTTAACATCAACAAGGTTCATCCCTTGTCAGTGTGCTTTTCAAGGCTGTATAATATTCCATTGCATTCACATACATGGCCCTAGTTTTATTTGATGACATTTTAAAAGTTTCCATGTACATCAAACAGTGGGATAAATTAACCTCAGGATTTAACTTCTCCATGCTCAGTCCCCAGCCTCTGCCCCAATGCTCCTAATAATTAAAAGTAATACCTTATATTATTTCTTCACCTATGAAACAGTCAGTTAACAGAATGATGGATCTCTAATAAGCACATTTCAAGGTTAATATATCATTGAAAGTATTGTGATTCTAAATATAAAACTTTGAATGCAAAAAATAGATATATTAAGTTACCATTCCATCAAGGACTCTTCCAAATACCACATGCTTGCCATCCAGCCAGGAGGGCTTGGTCAAGGTGATAAAGAACTGAGAGCCATTGGTGTCAGGTCCAGCATTGGCCATGCTGACCCACCCAATGCCATAATGTTTCAGTTTGAAGTTCTCATCGGGAAATGTGTCACCATAAATGCTTATACCTGGATGACACAAAAAGGACAAGAGTCAATAGATGTCCTGGGAAAGTAGAATATTCAAAAAAATACATAAGATTTTAGTAGAAATGGTTAAGAGAACACTAGCAGGTAGAGGTGGGGAACAGATGGTCAGCCTCAGGGGAAGTAAATGAGAAGAAAAAATGAACTTCTCAAAGGAAGCAGGGTCCAGGGTCTGAAAAAAATACACAATCAGAAGCTTTAAATATGACATAAGGTGACAGAATGTCCTCTGGCCTCAAGCGAAGGGCCAAATCTTGACCAAGCAGGTCAGTAATTTCACCCTGAAATGACAAGGAGCTGAAGGGTAGAATGACATCATAAAACTAGATGGGAAGGTGGCTGAGCCATCCTAGTGGCTCAATCTCTGTCACAAGCATCAGGTCACTCTAATCAGAACCTAACTACTAGCCACTGATAGAGAAATCTTAGGTCACAACCACCCTACAGAATAGGTACTCTCATTGCTGTTTCGCAGTGGGAAACAGGTTATGGAAAATGAGAACAGTGGAGCAAACCTTAAACATCTGGCACTCTGACTTTAAAGCCCACATTCTCTCTTGCCCCGGCACTGAGAAAGCACAGCAAGCCTAAAAGGCCTTAGGCACGCTGGCCTCAGGACCCGGCAGGAGGAAGAGGGTGATGGCCAATGAGAGCATGAAGTGTCCAGTCCTGAGCACAGCTAGAGGCAAGTGTGTGTCTGCAGCACTAGCAAACAGCAGGGACAGCAGCACACATATTCCCCATAAACCCTCAACACAGACCCTGAGACATGTCTGCATCTGTCATGCCCACCTTCTGCTCTTCTGCAGGGCTCCTTACCCATCAACTGCCAACCCTAAAATCCTTGGCTCAGTCAGGAAGGCCAAAGTAGATATCAAAGATAACAAAGGTATGGCTGGGTGGTCAGTAACATAGGATGTCTGGAAAAAAATTGCTTATTTGCCTGATTCAACAGGTCCCAAATTCAGAGACTATCAAGGAGAAGCAAGTGTGCACATGCACACACACACACACACACACACACACACACGGAAGGCAGAGAGAGAAAAGAGGGCACAGCTGGCACTCCCACTGGACCCAGGGCAGGATGATGGGATGCGGATCCCAAGGGGACAGGTTCTTAAGTACAGGTTTTGGGGGGAGGCCCAGCTCTGTGGCAGCTGGGGTCACTTTCCTGAGCATCCTCAGCGTACCCCCATTAGCCCAAGTAACCTGAACATGTGTCTCTGCTGCATTCCACTTGCCCATACCCTGCAGTCCCTTAGCGAGGACTGACAGTAATCTTCCCAAGGTGCCTGGCGAATCCCAGTGTTTAATCCTAGCCATTTTGTCATAAATAGCCCATTGCAGGAAACATAAAGTTAGCAACAGCGCTCAAAATAGCCTGAGTATTTCTTGCAAAAGTTAGCCATTCTATAGCCCCTAAAATCAGGGTTAGCTAAGTTGAAAGTCTTAAATGTGAAGTAAACTTACTTTAAATTTTTTGTAATTTTTCTTGAGATAGCATTGGCCTACAAACACTGTATGTGATTCTGAAATACAGGAGCCCACCTCTTTGGGTAGATACTATCACACCACACGCTGTGTAGTTACATAGGTATTGGGTGTGTTCAAGAACTCACTACATTTATGGAGCACTTAGTCCAGGGAGCTGGGGAACTGGAACCCTCAATATCAAATAACCTCAGGAAGATTCAAAACTCTATAAATATCATTATTTGTACTTTATAGAACTTGAACTTTGTTTATAAGTATGTCCATATTATAATTTACCAACTTACCTACTGATTTGCTTTTGTGGGGTTTTTTTTTTGTGTTTTTTTTTTTTTTTTAAGATTTATTTATTTATGCAAGCACTGGGTACAGTCAGAAGCACAGGAGGGTGAGAGAATTCACCAGAGCCAGAGCGGGGAACAGAACAGGCAGACTGACAAAGAAGTACACTGCTGAGGGGAGCAGTGGGCGGCAGGAGAGGTCTGTGGGCCATGTGGGACCATCGCTGGTGGCTGGGGATCGAACCGGCGCCGCAGAGACTGTAGGCAGCTTCGCAGCCCAGCGCTCAACCGCTACGCCACCAGGGGAGGCTCTGGTTTTTGATTGTTGAAAACACTGATGATGAAATGAAAGAATCCAAAGAAGGGGGTCAATCTGCCTGTCATCCTGCACCTGAATGTCACTCTGGCTGCCCCTCCAGTCTTCCTTCCCCAGGTCCCCATTTCACTGGTGTCCCGGTGTACATTTGATAGCCACCCTTCCTTCCCGTGACAGACACTGCCCTGTATCGTACATACCCACAGGGCAGCATTGTAAGTGGAACTGCAAAATAATCTACTGATCAAATATATCACCACAATGGAGATCTCTCCACCAAAGCAGGACTGTTTAAAGTGAGGAAGTCTCACTCACCTCTACCTATTAAGATTTTGGTACTCACTGGAATTTGGCATTGTTGGAAATGACAAAACAAGACATCTGGATGGTCTTCCTCTTTTCACCCTTTTTTTTCTCCATCTTAGCTGAGAGCACTCACCATTCAGAACCTAACCTCCATCTTTTTTATTTTTTTAAGATTTATTTATTTATACAAGCACTGGGGTACAGGCCAGAGGCACAGGAGAGTGAGAGAATTCACCAGAGACAGAACAGGGACCAGAACAGGCAGACAGACCAAAATACACTGCTGAGGGGAGCAGCAGGCGAGACAGGAGAGGTCTGCCGCACCATGTGGGTAGCTCCCTGGCCAGCTGGGAATTGAACTGGTGCTGCAGAGGCTGAAGACAGCTTCGCAGGGCTGTGCTCAACCCACTGCGCCACCCGGGAGGCTCCCTAACCTCCATCTTAAAGAATTCATTTGGTGGTCTTTATGGATTTTGTTCCTGAAATCTGGGAGCTCAATAAATCAGCTTAATCTTGGGTATCAATTTGGGAAAAGAAATGGAGAGGGGAAGGGAGAGAAAAAGGAAAGGAAGAAAACAAAATGAACAAAAACCAACAACGTTACCGCCAGTGCCATCTCCATGGGTGAAGTCTCCTCCTTGAATCATGAAGTCTTTGATGACACGATGGAATTTGCTTCCTTTATACCCATATCCTCTCTAAAGAGAGCATGTCAGTTGAATACACAAGTAGACAGAACCCATACCCAAAGAGAAACCCCGGTGTTCACTTGCAATGACAGACTATCTATAGGTCTGGAGTAGGCCCCAGCAATGATTTACTGACAGATACTTGTCAATAGCTGATCAAAACATAAATTAACAAACACACATGGGGTTAAAGAATTAATCTAAATAAATAGAAAGAGAGCAATGTGCATTTTCCCTTGGTGATTTTCCCTCTCATTTTCTAAATGCTAGAAGATACCGTGTCTGAAGAATACAGATTTTTATCAGGAAATAAAGTAAAATAGGGGCCTCCCTGGTGGCGCAAGGGCTTAAGCACAGCACTGGGAAGCTATCCGCAGCCTCTGCAGCATGAGTTCCATCCCCGGCCGGCCAGGGAGCTACCCACAGGGCACAGCAGACCTCTCCTGACTCTCCCGCTGTTCCCCTCAGCAGTGTATTTCAGTCAGCCTGCCTGTTCTGCTCCCTGCTCTGTCTCTGGTGAATCCACTCACTGCCCCCCCACACCTCTGGCATAAATAAATAAATCTTTAAAAAAAAGAGAAGTAAAATATCCTAAGATGTCTCCAGCTCATCTGTCCTACCAATTCAATCCTTATTTTATCAGAAGACATTGTTGTGCTTGGCTTCACAGAAAGAAGATTCACCTTTGTGTAATTAAAGAGATAGATCGGAGGCATACCTCTCCTGTTGCCAGGGCGATAAAATTGTCCACAGTCTTGGGCACAACTTTCCCAAAGAGGCCAATCACAATTCTGCCAACATCTTTGTCTCCAATTCTCACATCAAAGAAGACCTGTATGTGGCAAAAAAAAGTAGAGCAGAAGGTTATAAGGTGGAAAAGCCACAAATGCAACGTAAGTGAAAGTTAAAATCTGAGAACTGATCCACATTCAAAAGCCCTCACACCAGTATTTTGTAAAGAAGCCATGAAAAAGCAGGATATAAATCAAAGGAACTCTAAAACTATTTTGTCGTGCATTTCATTCACCAATATTCATTCAACAAACAGTTATGGAGCACCATCTACAGTGAGGCACTCAGTAATGGGTATAAAGTTGGACTGTGTACAGTCAGAATCAGCTAGTAAAGTCTTCAAGAATTCTCCTCCCTCACACCCCTGAGACAAACCCATTTCCCTGCTGTATAGGTGGAGGTTAGGTTCTCAATGGTGAGTGCTGTCAACTAAGATGGAGAATAAAATCAGTAAAAAGAGAAATAGGAAGACCTTCCAGATTTCTTGTTTTGTTACTTCCAATAATGCCAGTTTCCAGTGAGTTCAAGGACATGGGGTCTGACCCCCCTGACTGTCCCCACCAGGTAGTCTGCCCTTGAAACAGCTGTACTCACTTCCAAGCACAGCTTCATCCAAGAAACAGCCAACACTGACTCAGCATCCTGAGAGAACCATTTACTCTGTTCCAGATGCCGAATTCAGTCGCCACGTTCCCAGGGTACACGAATAGAACATGTTCCTTTCCCGCAACATTTTAGAATCCAAGAACAAAACACATCCAAACGTGAGTATGAGGCCCTTTCTTTCTTTTTTTTTTTTAAAAAAAAGATTTATTTATTTGTTTATACAAGCACTGAGTACAGTCAGAAGCGCAGGAGGGTGAGAGAATTCACCAGAGCAGGGAGCATAACAGGCAGACGGACAAAGTACACTGCTGAGGGGAGCGGCAGGCGCAGCAGGAGAGGTCTGTCGCGCCATGTGGGACCCTCGCTGGTGGCCAGGGATCAAGCGGTGCTGCAGAGCCTGCATATTGAGCCTGAGCAGCCCAGCGCTCAACCGTTACACCACCAGGGAGGCACTGAGGCCCTTTCTTGCACATAAACCTTAAGCAGTCTCTTGGGCTTTTTTTTTTTTTTTAACTGTTTCATCTGCAATGAAATCAAATACATTTTGCCTCACCAATCACTGTGCTAAGAGGACTGTGAGGCAGGATGCTTGAAAAGGCCACGCCGTCGAAGGGCATTCTATTAGTGAGTTTAGATTATATGAACCAATTTACTCTTTGAATGGGTAAAAAAAACATTCAAAAGATAGCTTTTAAAAATATAAGAAGACTTGTCAAAGAAAAAGGATGTCTTACAGTTTAGAAAAATCATGAAGTAAAGACTGTCAAGCCCTCGTTCAAGACAAGAGCTTCTGCCAATACATCAGTACGTCTGTCACAGGGTGATGTGATATTTAGTGTTCCGTGTGGCATTTTACAATTTTTACATGGCCCAGGCAGCAAAAATTGCATTACTATTTAAATAGTGAAACTTTATAAAATGCATTAAAGACCGTGCCTGGAGATGAGGTGGCGCCCTAGTGCCCCTTCTGTGAGCAGGGAGCTGGGGGAGCAGAGCTGGTGTCAGGCAGAGGCAGTTTCTCCAAAGGGATTTCCAAGCCATGGAGGAAATTTAATAACAGCAACGATGAGGCAGCACAGGGGAGAGAATCAGGGATGTGATCTTAGAAACACATCTAATAAAACACCAGAAAGGCCTTCCCAGACTTTCTAAAAAAAAAAAAAAAAAAAAGGCAAAACCTGCAAACATTTAAGATGCAAAGAAACTGAAATCTGGGGGAGCAGCCTGAGAAGATGAAGAAAACGTGCCTGTCACCCAGCACAGTTCTTCAACAAGTGTTATTACACACAGCCTAGCGCATACATTAATAGGGTTCCCCCCACACACACACTGCAGCATCCTTCATAAGTGAGGGTAAGAAAAGGGTGTGTTTTCACAGCTCGTATAGAAATAACAGCCTCAAATCTTATTTAACCAAATATTTATCGAAGCTCTATGGGGCAGGCAGTGTGTGAGCACAGAGCACCCCGTCCCAGCGTAGCTGAAATAGACACAGGACAAGCAGAGGCGTCACTGTGCCCTAGGCCGCCCGGGACGGGTGTCTGCCAGCCTGGAGGAATGTCACAGCTGCGGGAAGGCATCCTGGGCCAGGTATGAGGACAGGCAGCGCTGGAAGGAGGGAGCACCAGGGACACAAGCCCCACCTGCTGAGTTCTTTCTGGAACCAGAGCAGCAGGGAAGAGTGGTCTGTGAGCAGAGGAGCCACAAGGCCCTTCTGAACCCAAGGCTGTGAGAGCCTCACCTGGCCCAGAAGGCAGCAGAAGGGTGCCAGGTCAGAGACCCAGGTTTTGTCAGGGAAGAGAGAGAGAGAGAAGAAAGAACAGGACCCAGGAGAGACTCAAGTAGGAAAGGAGAATGTGGAGGCTCTTAGGGTCGTTCAAGGAGGTCAAGTGGCTGCCTTTGGGTGGTAGCTGAGGAATGCGAGGATGGGGGAGGGAGAGGCATTTAATTAGAGGGGGAAGGGGGAAGACTGGGCGGGAGAAGGGATGGGAAAACATGAGCTAGCAGTAGTGTCTACTGCGCGTCACCCTCACATCATAACAGGTGAGCCCCACTGTACCCTGGGAGGAAGCGCAGGCGCTGTTATCACCAAGTTGCAAATGAGGAAAGCAAGGGTCACGGGGTTCAGGGTTTTCCCAGCTAGCTTCTGTGAGCCCAAATCTCAATCCACGGCCACATCCAGTTGGACTGTGATTTATTATGAATACGGTTCTCAGTATGGCCAGGAGTCCCTAAGGGCAGGAGATGGTGCTTCCACCTTCCCTGGTGCCAGGCACAGTGTCACCACGAGTGGGGACTCAAAAAGTGCTGAATAGTGCAAAACTGAGTAACACTGAAGACCAGGGCAGGTGATCAGACTCACCTGGACAGAGGGTGAAGGTGACCAGACTCACCTAGACCTTCCCTGGTGCTCTGGTTCCAGAAAGAACTCAGCCAGGTGGGGCTTGTGTCCCTGCTGCTCCCTCCTTCCAGCGCTGCCTGTCCTCATACCTGGCCCAGGATGCCTTCCCGCAGCTGTGACATTCCTCCAGGCTGGCAGACACCCATCCCAGGCAGCCTGGGGCACAGTGGCACCTCTGCTTGTCCTGTCTATTGCAGCTACCCTGGGACGGGGTGCTCTGTGCTCACACACTGCCTGCTCCATAGAGCTTTGATAAATATTTGGTTAAATAAGATTTGAGGCTTGAGGCTATTTTGAGGCACTCAAGGTGGCCGACAGGCAATCCTCTCACCTGAGATTCATCTCCGACTTGGCTTTGTGTCACTGGGGACAGGCCCCGTGCCCCACCCCCACAGAGCATCCAGACCAGGACCAGTACATACAGAAGTAGCTGTAATATTCTGGAAGTTAGGTTTAATGGGAAGACCCGTGCAAAAAACATGTCATGGTAAGAAGTGGTGCTTATCTGTGTGGATCAAGGTGGGCTTCCTGGAAAAGGTGGTACTTGGTACCACTTAAGGAGCGGGCACCTCAGTGGCTCCTTTTTGCCTCACAGTTGTCCTTGAAAGTTACCTGAACTCATGGGATGCGGGGTGGTGGGGGAGGGAAGAGACACACACTTACTCAAACCCCGGTGCGGTTTGTTTCCAAAGTGACTGGGTACGTGAGCTGTGAAGTCTCAAACCCAGCTACACCACTAACTGGCCATGGAAACTGAAGCAAGTTGGTGAAACCCTCAAACTCCTGGTCCCCATCTCCGAGATGAATAAGATAACAGAGGTAACACTAACAACGTGCCTCTTAAATCAGGAACTCAAAGCAGGGTTAAGCATGTCCCTGCTTTATTACATCTAATTTGCCAAACCCTGGCACATATCTATCTGGCAGGTAGTTATTATTCCACCTTGATTTACAGAGGATGAAAGGAAGCATCAGATGTTACACAACTTGGCCCTCGTCACCTGCCCTAGCCTATTAGTCAGTCCGTGCTTTAGAAAGTTCCAGCAAACTGAGAAAAAATGTCATGGTAGGAAGTGGTGATTATCTGTGTGGATCAAAGTGGGCTTCCTGGAAAAGGTGGTACTTTGGTGCCACTTAAGGAGCATCTGAAAGTAGCTGGAAAGATGGCAGAGTACTTAATATACTCTTGGAGCCCGGCCTGGCCTTGATCAGGTCCCACGGCATCTGCTGGAGTTTGGAGCGCAAGGAGCCACAAGCCCAGATGAGCCTCTATGGCTGGGCAGGAGGCTGAGTCTGTCCTGCAGCAAGACACAGGACAAGGTTAGAGCTCTTAACAGGTCTGGGGGGGGCGGGGCCAGGAGGAGCACCTCACACCTCTTTTATTTACAGATTCCTATTTTTAAAGGAAATCTGAGGTAAAGACTGCAGGGGAAAACTATACACCAGAGTAAAAGCCAATGAATCCACTCTTCCTCAATCAGAGAATCATTTTTAATGTTTCCACTTTCCCTACAGTTGTTTATAAAAGGTCACTAAAAAGTAATTCAGCAGTCAAATCTGTAGAAGTCTGATCTCCACAATGAGCTTTTAGAATTTAGCTATAAATTTGGTGGGGGAAAGAAAACGCATTAAGTAACCATTCTGAGAGCAAAGTCAGGAGAAGGCCCTCAGTGACAGCACCCTGGGCCAGGGACACGATGCTCCGAGTCTCCTTCCCCTCCTGCAGCTACCACCCTGGGGTCCCTCTTCTCCTGGCCAGGCTTCACACCCCAAGACTTGTTCTCCTGCAGATGGGCAAGTTTAAAAGTCCCTCGGGGGAAACTAGTTCCAAGTATTGCAGGTGATGCTTTCACACTAAATAATTACTCACTGATTATCTGGAATTCTTATCTGCCTGGCTATTTTAGCTGGCAGTACTACTCCCTGTGTCAGCCAGTGCTATTAGGTATACCTCCAGAACCTATTCCAAGTGCTTTCCTTGCTCCCCAGTTCCACAATGACCTCCCTCCTCCAAGCCGCCACCATCTGGCCCTGGGCGTGGATCCGTGAGTGGGATCTCAGTTCACCACTCACTGAGCAGCCACATCATCTCTTAGAAGCCAGTATGAGACCACGTCATCCCTGCTTGAAGCTCTGCAGGGGCCCTCAAATTAAAGGAGTAGCTGCCTCAAAACCCTGCCTGATGAGGTGGTTGCTCACCCCTCCAACCTCATCTCGGGCCAACCGTTCTTCATCCCTGGGGCCTCTCTGCTCTCTATGATCACAGCAGGGTGGCTTTCTCTCTGGAGGCCTTTACGCCTGCAGTCCCTTGCTGATATCTTCGCCAGGCTCCCTGCTCTTCAAGGTTTATAAATGCTACTCAGTCGATATTAGGGGTTATTGCTTGGTTCATCTCACTTTTGATGAAATTTACTGTTATGACTGGATCCTGACTCAGATAGGGTGCAGACTGAAAGCAAGGCTCCCCTACTCCCCCACAGAGCTCCTCGGCCTGTATAAACTCCCAAAATCAGATATGCCCCGAAGTTCAGTGCTTGAAACAATCAGGTCAACTTTATCACAATCTGGCAAGGCCCTTCTGTTTACCCCTAAGCTACAAAGGGATGGAGGCTTGAACCTGTCCCCTCTCCAGACCACGGCCCGCCCTCTTCACCATCCTGCATTCCCTGCGGTCCTGCACTAAGCCGTCCTCTACTTCAACAGTGTCATTTCCACCGGCTAACACCAAAGCAATTGTTAAGAGCCCTTACAGCTGCCCCTCCTTGCAGATTCCAAGGTATGAGCCCGTGCGTTTTTTTTTTTTCCAGAAGTGACCATCATGGGCACCAAATCATACAGTCGCTAGCTCACTCCCTCCCGTTCCCTTCTAGCCTTGGGTCAGTAAATATGCTGAAAAAGATTAAAAGGCTGGCCTCAGTCACACAGGTGCCTTCTGGGCCTTAGAGCAACACCCCAAGCCAGGGGGCTGCCCCCACCCCCAGCAAGTCTGAAAGCGCTCGTCTCCTGTGGTTCTTAAACAGCGGCGGGGGAGCCCAGCCTCTCCTTGCAGAAAGCCCTGGGCCACCTCCCCGGCCCCTCTGCGCCCAGGGGCACGGCCCCCCCCACCCGGAGTGGGTGACCCCGGCGCGGCGCGCGGCCCCGGGCTGGAGCGTGTCCCCCGCGCGCCCCCCGCTCTTCCTGCGGCTGCACCCGAGTCCCGGCCGCGCCGAAGGAAGTACTTGGGCTGTCTCCTTCCTGGAGAACCGGCTCTCGGGTTCCGGAAGCTTCTCCCAGCCCCCGGGGTAGATGCCCGAGGGCCGCGCCCCAGCGGGCGGCCCGCGCGGCCCGGGACTCCGCCCGGCACCCACGAAGTCTCCCCGGGGCGCCACCCCGCGCACCCCGCGCGGCCGCCCCCTCCCACCCCGGCCCGTGGCCTCCTCCCGTCCTCTGAGGCCGGGGAGACGCTCCTCGGCGCCCCCCACACGGAGGTCCCCGTCCCCAAAGCGCCCCGTCCCCAAAGCGCCCCGTCCCCGAAGCGCCCCGTCCCCAAAGCGCCCCGAACCCGTGGCCAGGAGGAGGGGGCAGCCCCGGCCCGCTGTCCGGTCACCTTGGCCGTCACCGACGGGCCTCGCTTGCGGCCGCCCGAGGCCCCCACAGAAGACACGAGCGCGCCGAACCCCACGAAGAGCACCAGAGGTAACAGCAGCCCGGGGCGCGGGCCCATGGCGAGCGGCGGCTGCGCTGGCATCGTCTCGGGAGCGGCCGCAGGCCCCGGGACGGCTGGCGGGACTCCGGGAGGCTGCGCCTGCGCGCTCCCGCGCCCAGTTTGGGGGGGCGGGGGCTGGGTTGGGGTTGGGAGGCTGGGGCAGGGCCGGAACCCCGGCGCGCTCCTCTCAAGTGCTGCCCCTCGGGGCGAACTAGGGTCCCGAGAGGCGCGCGGCGGTCTGACCGCCTTGCTCGCGGCCAGTGCGCGGGCGCCCCAGAAATGTGTGGCCCCCTAAAAATGTGTGGCCCCGGGCGCTGGGTGGAGGCGTCTCCAGGAACCTGCCGCGTCGGCACAGATTGAAACTTAGGAACGCTCGGGCTGCGGACTCTGCCTGGCACTGTGCGCGCAGCGGGGCGGGGGCGCTTCTGAGGGGTCCCCGACTTGGCCGCAGCCGCCTTGGGGGTCGCCCCGCGGGGCCTTCCACGGGCCGGTGTTTGCTCAGAGCTTCAGCTAAGTTTCGACGCCCCCCAGAACTGTGGGGTACCTGCGTGCGTGGCCCTGATTGCACATGGTGAATGACCCCTCGTTGAGATTGCAATTGGGCGTACAGTCTGTCCAAACTTCAGAGTAATGTTTGGGAAGATAATTTAATGCCTTGGGAAAATGTGCACTACACTTTTAAATGGAAAACTCAGCTTGCAAAATCAAGTAGAAACCCTGATCTCAACTGTGAAAGTAAATATGTAAAGGCATTTTAAAAATGGAAAGAAATGCACCCATTTACAGTAGCTCTGGTGATTATGAATGATTAGGATTATGAATTTTTGTTTGTGATTTTTTGCTTTCCCAGATGCTGTACAATGAGCATGTCAGTATTTTGTAATCAGGAAAATGTTGTTTTAAAACGCAAAGCTTTTTGAATTAGGACTTCAAAAGAACTTTCTTTTTATTTCAGTTAATTTCCAAAATTAACTATAAATCAGTAATAGCAGTCTGTTGATTTTCCTAGGGGCTGGTTCATGCCTTTTGAGCCAGGGTTTCCCTTAGATAAGTAGATAGGATTCCTGCCGGTGACTAAGTTAGATCTAAAGTTACTTTGGAACTATTCATTAAGTATAAAAGGAGTAACTGCTACTTTTGAGGGTGGGAAGAATTATTCTCAACTGTTTTTGATATTTCATTTCAATAAAGACTCTATTATCTTTCTTCTCTCCCACCCCCAATAAAGAATCCTCCTTTTACAGAGAGGTAAAGGTATCAAACACTTAGTCTGCTGAGTAATTGTGTTTATTTATGCAGGGGTGTGTGTGTGTGTATACATATATATATATATATATATATGTGGGAGTGTGTGTTATATTTAAATACATGTGCACATATACATTCATTACTGTATACCAACAAGCATATGCATTCATTTCTGTACCTGTTTTTTCTCTGCTTTAAGTGTGAAGCACCGCCAGAGCAGGGAGCATGCCTGTATTTTTTCCTTTTGATGACCCAGATCTAGTGCAACACCTAGTATAAAGTGATTTTTCAATAAATATTTGTTAAATGAATGAATGTATCTAAACCCTTTTAAAAATCCTTTTATTGGGAAAATTGATAAGTGTAAACATGCACAGATAAACACAAAATGTCAACATACAGATCAACTGAATTATTATGAAACAAACACCACTAGAACACCTCCCCCCCCCAAATAAAATATTCACTAGCTCTCTGGAAACTCCTCTTGTACGCCCCCCCCCATTAATTCTCCCCAAATTAACGACAATCTTGCACTCTCACATTACGGTTTAGTTTTGTTTTAACTTGATATGAATGAATTATAGCATGTAATTATTATTTTGCACAAAGTTATGTTTGTGAAATTCATCCTCGTAGCTCTTTGAGTGAATAGCCCAAGATAGGGATCAAATTCATTTCCCCCGCCCATATGAATAACCACTTTTCCCAGCACAATTTATTGAAGTTTCTCCTTTACTCACTTCTCTAATGTCACACTGTTTCGTGGTGGTGCAGGTGTCCACACAGGCACAGGCCCATTGTGGGTCTCCTTCTGTGTCCCACTGGCACACTTGTCTGTCTTTGTGCAGTATCACAGTATCTTAATTAAAATAGTCTTATAAAAAGTCTATAAATTCAGTCTTCTTTCTTTTGATAAATTGAGTCCTCCCACTTTTTTCCAATGGATGCTTAGCTGTTCTTGACCTTTTCTGAGTCCACATAAACTTGAGAATAAACTTGTTAGTTTCTAAAAACTGAGTTTTGATTGAAATTGCATTGCATCTATAGAACATTTTGGAAAGACTTGCCCATGTTTTTGATATCAAGTTTCCCTATGCTAAATAAGGCATATTCTTTCTTTTTTCTAGGTTATTTTCAAAATTTCTGTCAAGATTTTGAAGATGTCTACCTAAGAAGTCTCATACATATTTTGTTGCATTGATTTCAGGGTATTTGGTGTTTTTATCCTTTTGTAAATTTTTTTGAAGATGTATTTACTTATGCATACAAGAGCTGGGGTGTAGGCCAGAGGTGCAGGGGTCGGTAAGAGGATTCACCAGAGAGTGGGGAGCAGAACAGGCAGATCTACTGAAATACACTGCTGAGGGGAGCAGTGGGTGAGACAGAAAAAATCTGCTGCACCATGTGGGCAGCTCCCTGGTGGGCCGGGGATCGAACTCATGCTGCGGTGGCTGCCAAGGCTTGATAGGGCTGAGTTTTAACCCCTTGTGCCACCAGGGAGGCTCCATTTTATCCTCTTGTAAATTATAACTTTCAAACTTTTTTTTTCCTATTTGTTGCTATTGGACTAAAATTGTTTTTGTATTTTAATCTTGACTAGGTCAACTTTGTTGTTAAGCTTATTCTAATAATTCATCTGTGAATATTTTAGGATTTTCTACATAGACTACTATACGTGAATAATGACTGTTTTATTTCTTCCCTAATTTTTATTTTATTTTATTTTCTTGCCTATTGCACTGGCTAGGACCTTCAGTCCAAAGAAAGTGGCAATAATGGAAGCTCTTGTTAAATGTTGCCTCCAAAAAACATATGTTGACATTCTCCACTATCTGTGAATATGGCCTTATTTGAAAGTAGGGTCTTTGTAGGTGTAATCAAATTAAGATAAAGGTATACTGGAATAGTGTATGCTCTGCCTCGGTATGACTGTGGTTGTTACAAAAAGGGGAAAACACATAGAACAGAAAACACCACGTGAGAAAAGACTAGAGAGCAGAGTGATGCATCTATAAACGGAGATATGCCCAAGATTGCTGGCAACCTCCAGAAATGAGAAAAAGGCAAGGAAAGACCCTCCCTAGGAGCTGTCAGAGAGCAGGGCCAACACCTTGATGTAGACTTCGAGACTCCAGATAATAAACTCCTGCTGTTTCAAGCTACCCTCTTTATTAAGGCAGCCCTAAAAAGTGAATGTTCCAATCCCAAAGGACTAACTTTCAAAATTTCTCCATTAAATGGGATATTTGCTGAGGGTTCTTTTGGAAGGGGATATCCTTTTGCAGCTTCAAAAAATTCCTGTCCAGTCCTAGTTTTAGAGTTTTTCCTGAGTTTGAGCAACATCATCTATTAAAATCAAGTGAAATAATGGCATGATTTCCCCTTATTCGGTTATGTGGTGACATATTGTTTTTCAACTCTTGACCCAACTTTACATTCTGGAATACACCCAGTAGGTGTTGGCCTTTTTCTTATATTACAGGATATGGTTTGCCCATTTGTTTCTTAACAAACTTACTTAAATGCCCCTCTAATTCCCCCCCCTAAAAAAATGTAGGCATTTCTTCTGAAGTTCAGGAAAAGCATAATTCAATTGGGACTCTGGCTTTGCAGTTTAGACCAAGCTGACCACCGACATCCCATTTTTGTGTTAATGGATAAGTTTACTGATGTTAGGGTATGATATCTATTTTTATAAGTGATGACAGCCTGAAGTTTTTCTTTCTTGGAATTTCCCATCAGTTTTTATATCAGAGTTATTCTGGGCCCTTTGCATGAGTTGGCAAATGTTAACTGTCTTTCCTGGACTTTGAAGTGATTTGTGAAAGACATTATTTCTTCCTTGACTATTTCTTAGAAGTCCCCTAGGGAGTTTTCTTTATTATAAAGTTTTAAACTATAAATTTAATTTTTTAAATACATAAAGGTTTATTTAGATTTTTATTTTGTCAATGTAGTATTTTTCAGGAATTTGCCCACCTCATTTATATTTTAAAATTTGTTTATATTAAGTTATTTAACATATTTTTATGAGTTTATAAGTCTATAGGACTTTCTTTAAATTTATTGTACTGTTATTTTTCTATCTCATTGAGATAAGCTTGTATTTCACTGATTTTTTTTTTTACCCTGTCTTCTTTTATATTATTCTATGAGCAGTTAAAATAATTAAATTCCCCTCAGAAGCACAACTTTTTTTTTTTTTTTTTTATAGAGGCATGTTTTATTTATTTATTTGTTTGTTTGTTTGGTTGGTTGGTTTATACATGCACTGGGCACAGTCAGAAGCGCGGAAGGGTGAGAGAATTCACCAGAGCCAGAGCGGGGAGCAGAGCAGGCAGAAGGACCGAAGTACACTGCTGAGGGGAGCAGCGGGCGGCAGGAGAGGTCTGCGCACCATGTGGGACCCTCCGGTGGCCGGGGAGCAGCCGGGGATCGAACCGGCGACGCAGAGGCCGTGGGCAACTTCGCAACCCAGCGCTCAACCGCTGCGCCACCGGGGAGGCCCTCAGAAGCACAACTTTTGATGCTTCCCACAAATTTTGATATATATTATTTTCATTATCATTCAGTTAAATTTTTTCCTGTTTTTTACTTTTTTCACCCATGAGTTATTGACTATGTAGTACTGTATTCCCAAAACATGAATTTAATGAAAACGTAATAGTGATCTCTACCTTTGTTAAATTGCATAATCTGTATTATTTCATTCTTTTAAAATAATGGAGAGATTGCTTTATGACATAGAATTTGATGGATTTTTTTTAAAGATTGATTTATTTATACAAGAGCTGGGGTAAAGGCCAGAAGCGCAGGA